TTCACCAACGATCCAAACACATACTTAGGCGTTATCACCTCATTCGAGAGATAATCGATCGGGGAGATGTGAAGATATGCAGAGTACCTACACTTGACAATATCGCTGACCCATTAACAAAGCCTCTTGCGCAACAGAAGCATGATGGTCATACTAGATCTATGGGTATTAAGGGTATACCTAATTGGCTCTAGTGCTAGTGGGAGATTGTTGGTGTAAGCCCTAGAGGCCAATACTTTTTGGTACTTGTATCGGATTATTCGTTTAATAATAAAAGGCATTTCTTTATTATGTTTGTCTTTCAGAATAATAAAGTCCCTAGAATAGTTAGTCTGTTTAATGAAATGTTAAGTGTGACTTAATCATGAGATCCCATTAAACATAAAGACATTATTCTTAAAATATCCGTAGTCAAGCTTTATTGCAAAGTGGGATAACATTAAAAGCATTGAGACTATTATGAAGATAGACTGGTGATCACATCTCATGGATCATGGATAAAGAGTTATCAAGTCTTGACATAGGTATAAATATTAAGAGTAATATTTATATCGGATTGACCCGCTATGAGAATACTACATAGTATGTTATGCAAAGTGTCATAAGTTATTCTCATGGTGATAATGGTGTATTACCACCCTTCGACCTGAAACCACTATGGACCCTAGATGTAGAGTCGGGTGCTTTATTGCTGATCAAACATTATCCGTAACTGGATGATCATAAAGACAGTTGATGGGCACTCCACGAAGCATGCTGAGGGACATGAGTGTCCTAGATGGAATTTGCCAATCCTGCATAACAGGAGAAATGTCTAAGGGCCCAATATTGAACTGGACAAGGATGACACAGTGTATGCCTTGTGTTCAATATAGACATAGGGGCAAAAGGGTAATTGTACAAACATATATTATCACGAAAAAGGTTTTGTCAGATCACGTGACATTTTCGTGACTTGGGTAGCAGTGATGTGTTGCTAGATACTGCTTACTGTTTATTATGTTAAATATATAATTTAATATAATTATCAACGTTACGAAATCCTACAGGGTCACACACATAAGGACAGTTTGATGAGAGATAGAGAAATCAAAGGAACACCGTAAGGTACGGTGCACTTAAGTGAAAAAAAATAGAAATTCGGATAATATAATAATAATTATTGTTATTTTATAATGGTTATAAAATAATAATAAAATAAATATATTTATTATAATAATAGTTATTATAATAATATATAATATTATTATGGATCATGTGAATTGGGTTTTTAGCCCGCAGTCCACAAGAGAGTCTATAAAAGGAACCCTTGTGATGAAGCTTTCACTTGATGCAATTTCGTTTTTGATTCTCTTTTCTCACTCAAATAATTCCGTTCGTAAGCAGCTAGCACTGTGACCGGAAGCTGTTCGTGTGGACTGAGTAGAGGCGTTGCACTTCATCAACGCTTGTGATCGCTGCATCAAAGATCTGAATCGCCACAAAGAGGTAACGATTCTATCACTGACCATGCTCATTCGTAAGGATCACTAAAGGAAATTTTTGTTTTCCGCTGCGTTTAGATCGCAATTTTCCTTCAGGGATAGCCAATATATCTCTAGCTATGCGGGAAAGCACATGATATTTATTTGTTTTTCCTTTCCACCAAGTGAGAATATTAAATGTAGGAGAATCATCTTCAACACCATCCTCTAAATACCTTTCCAACTCATTTTTTTGCACTTCACATTGTTTTTTCTTCATATTCATTCTAAACAAATTGTCTCAATCTTCATCATCTTCACCATTTTCAATTCTAGAATGAGAGGCAATGTTTGAAGATGAGGCATTGGAACCACCATCATGAGAAACAGGATACAAAAATAAATAGTGCTCAAACAATTTAGCAATGAGAGATTTCAATTTCTTTAACATATCCTCTGACAATTTTTCACCATACATCCGAGTAAAACAAAATTCAATATAGTCAAGCTTATAACGAGGATCAAGATAAATAGCAACAAAGAGAAGATAATTTATTGTATTGCTTTCCCAATACTTGTTGTACTTCAATTGCATATTTGCTGTCATAGTTTTCAAAATTGGATCACTAACATTGTGCCTCCATTTATTCAACGTTTTTTTAATATCCATCAACTGTTTGAAAAAAGAGTTAGCAGTAACATGCAATGACCCAGAAAAAGAAAGTGTGGCATCATAAAAAGTTTTCAAAAACTTCACAAAAATGCGAGCTCGTTCCCAATCAGCTCGATTAAGACATCCTTTCGACTCAATACGGAGATTAGTTAAAAATGCAACATCAGCATGTTCTAAGCGGTAAAATGCATGTTCATACTTTTCAGCGATGTTCAACATTAAATAAGTAGAGTTCCATCTGGTTTCTACATCTAGTGTTACCAATGCTTTAGAACATACACCAACAGCTTCTGCACACTTCTTGAAAGTAGCCAACCTACTAGGAGAAGCCTTGACAAACTTACATGCAGCCCTAATTCTTTTAACAGATTCATCAATATCCTTTATTCCTTCTTTGACAATCAAGTTTAATATGTGAGCACTACATCTCATATGCAAGTACTCCCCATTAAACAAAGTACGACCATTCCAAAAACTCATGCCTCGATTTAAATAATCAATTGCCAAATTGTTAGCACTTGCATTATCAACAGTCACACAACATATAGACTTGATACCCCATTCCTTCATGCAATTCTCTAATGTTATCCCTATAGTTTCACCTTTATGGTCAGCAATTATACCAAAGCTTAATATACTCTTCTTTAAATTCCACTCGTCATCAATATAGTGAGCTGTAACACACATATAATTCATATTCTGAATCGATGTCCAAGTATCAGTGGTAAGAGACACCATTTGTTTATTAGCAGACAACATAGATTTCAATTTTTCTTTCTCATCGAAGTACAAGCATAAACAATCTCTGGCAACAGTGACACGAGATGGAATTTTGAATCTTGGTTGAGCCTCTTTCATGAACATATTAAATCCTTCATTTTCAACATATTTAAAAGGGAGCTCATCAATGATTATCATCTTTGCAAGTGTTAATCTAGTCCTCTCTTGATTAAAATCAACAAGTTTCAAGCTAACACTATTAGGATCATCCTCACTTTCTTTTCCAATAGCTATAGTTTTTTGTTTCTTATCAACTACCCTATTTGGATTTTTCAGGCACACTTTCAAATGTTTATGCATGTTAGTAGTGTCATGACTACCACTATTTGCAGCATATTGTTTCCCACAATACTTACATATAGCCTTATCATTAACCCTTTTAAAATCTTTCCAAACTGTAGAAGGTTTTCTAGAGGGTTTTCTTTTGCTTACCTCTATTAGTGCACTTGGTGGCAATGATGACAACCCTTCTCCTTGTATTTGTTGAACTTCTTGCTCTTGTTCAAGTGGATGAGCAACATCTTCACTGACAATTTGTGATTGTTCCACTTCCATTTTCTATAAAAAAAAACAATTTTTAATATAAATTATTATTAAAACAACATTAAACAAAATATATTTAAATTAATAATATGAAACAGAACAGGACTTTGCATCAAAATATATTTTCATCATATGAAACAAAATAGTACTTTGCATCATATGAAACAAAATAGTACATTACATTGAACCTATCATCATATTTTGCATTGATATAAAACTATTGAAGTACATACTGTAAAAACAATATATTGCATTGAAATAAATATATTGTAGAACTATAAAAAGTATAAAACCTTATTCAATATGGAGACGAAACTATGAGAGAGTCAAAGTATAGACTGTGGATTTTCAAAAGCAAGATGGAATTGGAATGTGAGAGAGTAAAATAAAAAAAAAAACATCGTGAGAGAAAGAGGAGTGGTGACGTTTGAGATTTGCGCGTAGTAAAAAAATAGGGTTAGGTTAAGTGGTATTGTCTTTAGTTTAGTAAGTTTCTAATATATACTTAATTATTATTAGTTAATAAAGATTCATTAAAAAAATAAAAAGGCAGTAAAGTGTAAACTAGAAGTGCATAAGTCAAGCAAGCATGATTAATATTAATAATAATGTTTAATTATAATAATAATAATAATTTAATGTGTGATTGAAAACTGGAAGGAAAGTGCAAAAGATCTTTGTGTACGTTACAATTTACAAAGTTATAGCAACTTTAAAATTTATAAATAATAATATAATAATAATAATAATTAATTATGTCACGTCAACGGGTTGGGTCAACGGGTTCATGGGTTTAGAAACTAAAACCCAATACCCGAACCAAATCTATACGGGTTGTTACGGGTTGGGTCAGATATACCCGTAAATAAATGGGTCCGGGTAATTAGTGGGTTGGTTCGGTTTGGATAGGCGGGTTTGCGGGTCGACCCGCACCCATGAACACCCCAATTTTAGAATTATATAACAGCATCATTATCATTGTAATGTTCATAAATTCAATTAGAATGAATTAAAATTAACAAAATGATTAATATAACTAATTGAATTAAAATTAAAGTATTAAAATAAAAATAAATAAGTTTTGAAATCATAATTTAGCCTAGAATCTATAACCACGCCCACAATATTTAAGGACAGCGATTAGTTTTGATTACATCTCCTAAACTACACTAATGTAAGAAAAACCACACATCAACCCATCTACCCCCAAATAATATTCTATAGTTATAGTGTGTCGCATATAGTGTGTAATTTTAACCAACCTAAGTTATTTAGTGGAATCTTCTACCATTGACAAATTGGCCATCACAAAATAATCATACCATAAAACCATCGTGTTTGAACAAAACTCTACTTTAATTAACTTAATTTCCAGTGTCACACTCATGTCGTTGAACTTTATAGTTAGTGTATTTTTTCAATGCTATTTTTGCCCATATCTATATCATATATAAACTAAAAGTAAATTCACAAACGTGTTACATTGAAATAACTAAGACCATAATTTCCCGGCAAATACTGAAACTAACTGTATCTTCAAAATGCCTAAACTACCCTTCTTTATGTTGAAATTTCCCTGTAATCTGTTTCTCTTGCTAACCTTCATAATACCCTTCAAAGTAATTTCACAACCTATAGCCTCCGAAGTAACCATACTTCTTAGTTTGAAACGTCAAATTGGTGATCCACCGTCGCTTCAGTCATGGAAACCGTCACCGTCTTCGCCGTGCGGATGGCCGGAGATCAATTGCACCGGTGGATTCGTCACGGAGCTTCTCCTCCCGAACAAAGACATCACCACACAGAAACTCCCTTCGATAATCTGCAACCTCAAGAGCCTCACTAAACTTGACCTCTCCAACAACTCCGTCGCCGGAGAGTTTCCGACGTGGATGTACAACTGCTCCAACCTCCGGTACCTCGAACTCTCCCAGAACTACTTCGCCGGACAAATCCCTGACGACATCGGTAACCTCAAAACACTCACGTACCTCAACCTCGCCGGCAACAGCTTCACCGGCGATATCCCGGCGGCTATCGGGAAACTGCATAACCTTAAAACACTTTACCTCTTTCAAAACAACTTCAACGGAACCATTCCAAAGGAAATCGGAGACTTATCGAACCTCGAAACCCTCGGTATAGCTAATAACTTCAGACTCAAACCAATGACAATTCCGTTCGAGTTCGGAAAAATGAAAAACTTGAAATTCATGTGGATTTCAAAGTGTAACTTGATCGGAACCATTCCAGAAAGCTTCGTGAATCTCACGAATCTCGAACATTTGGATTTATCAACCAACAATTTAACCGGAAACATACCTAGAAGTTTATTCTCGCTGAAGAAATTGACCTATATGTACCTTTACCTCAATAGGTTTATTGGTGTGATACCTGATTCGGTTCAGGCTTTGAATTTAACAGAAATCGATTTGTCTATGAACAATTTAACTGGTTCGATACCGAAAGAATTCGGTAAGTTGCAGAATTTGACTGTTCTGCAATTGTTTTCAAATCAGTTATCTGGTGAGATTCCTAGCAGTTTAGGGCTGATTCCAAGTTTGAGGAAATTTAAGGTTTTTGAAAATAAGTTGAATGGGACACTACCTTCAGAATTAGGAAGGTATTCAAAGCTTGTGATTTTTGAAGTTGGTGAAAATCAACTCATTGGTGGGTTGCCCGAACATTTGTGTGAAGGTGGTGTTTTGTTGGGGGTAACTGCTTTTTTGAATAATCTCAGTGGAAACTTGCCAAATTGGTTTGAGAATTGTGTTTCTCTTACCACTGTTAAGCTTTACAATAACAGATTTTCAGGGGAAGTTCCTTTGGGTTTGTGGAATTTGACGAAATTGTCGACGTTGATGATAAGTGATAACTTGTTTTCCGGTGAACTTCCGAGTAAATTATCGTGGAACATGTCTAGACTTGAGATTAGAAACAATAACTTTTCAGGTCAGATATCTCTTGGAGTTTCTTCTGCTTTAAATTTGGTAGTTTTTGATGCAGGAAACAACTTGTTTTCTGGTGAGGTTCCAAGGGAATTAACGGGTTTATCGCAGATCATTACTCTCATGCTTGATGGTAATCAACTCTCTGGAACACTTCCGTCTGAAATAATATCGTGGCGATCACTTAATATTCTAAATATCTCGAGAAACAAAATTACGGGTCGAATACCTGTAGCTTTGTCTTCTCTTCCAAGCCTTGACTACTTGGATTTATCTGAAAATAACTTAACCGGTGAAATCCCACCTCAGCTTGTGAATTTGAAGCTTATTTTTCTTAACTTGTCTTCCAACAAGCTTACAGGGAACATCCCTGATGAGTTTGATAATCTTGCATATGAAAACAGTTTCTTGAACAATCCTCAACTATGTGCACATGATGAAAATTTCAACCTTTCAAGCTGCTTGACAAAAACAACACCGCAACACTTCAGAAATCATTCATCTTTGAAATCAAAACTCATTGCTCTGATTCTTGCTGTTTCCGTTGCTGTGTTGCTGGCCACAGTTTCGTTGGCCTTCTGCACGTTGAAAAAGTATTGCGGCAAAAAGCGCTGCGGGCGTAAGCTTTCAACATGGAGGCTTACATCATTCCAGAGGTTTGATCTCACGGAAATAAATATCTTCTCAAGTTTGACAGAAAATAACCTCATAGGAAGTGGAGGGTTTGGAAAAGTTTACCGGGTAGCTTCAACTCGTCCCGGTGAGTACATTGCAGTGAAGAAGATTTGGAATGTCAAGGATGTGGATGACAAACTGGATAAAGAATTTATGGCTGAGGTTGAAATTCTGGGCAATATTAGGCATTCCAATATAGTGAAGCTTTTGTGTTGTTATTCAAGTGAGAACTCTAAACTTCTTGTTTATGAATACATGGAAAATCATAGCTTGGACAAATGGCTTCATAAAAAGAAGAAAACATCGGTCTCTGGGTTGAGCTCACACACTGAGAATCAAACGGTGTTGAGTTGGCCAACAAGGTCGAACATTGCCATTGGTGCTGCACAAGGCCTGTGTTACATGCATCATGAATGTTCAGTGCCAATCATTCACAGAGATGTCAAATCGAGCAATATATTGCTTGACTCTAAGTTCAAGGCAAGTATAGCAGATTTTGGACTTGCCAAGATGTTGGCAAAGAATGGGGAACCATACACCATGTCTGTTTTAGCAGGGTCTTTCGGCTACATTCCACCAGGTAAGTGATGCTAACAACAAAACTTCTTTATATCCAAATTCAACTTAACTGATTATATGCCTCATTGTATTGCAGAATATGCATATTCTACCAGGATTGATGAAAAAGTCGATGTGTATAGCTTTGGAGTTGTACTACTAGAGCTTGTGACAGGAAGGGAGCCTAATTATGGAGGTGAGAATGCATGCAGCCTGGTTGATTGGGCATGGCGGCATTGTGATGAAGGAAAATGTATCACCGATGCCTTTGATGAGGATATCAGAGAAACACCCTATGCAGCAGAGATGACTAGCGTCTTCAAATTAGGTCTCATGTGCACAAGCACATTACCCTCCACTAGGCCTTCAACAAAGGAGATTTTGCAAGTTCTTCGGCAGTGTTGTTCTTCAAGTTCTGCACATACAAGAGTGGCAACTGAATTTGAGATCACTCCTCTTCTTGGCAATACAACTTACATTTCTAGTTACAAGGATGGTAGAACTGTGAATGAAAATGAAGAAAGCTGCTTATATAGTGTGTAACGATAGTGTTCCTCACAGTATTAATGAGATATGTAATGCAAATGTGTCAGACTTCAAGTGAAATTATATTAGTCATAGTTTAAGCCTGTCTTCCAATAAAAAACCATGAATCTAGCATATAACCAATCGCTCACATTACAGCTTTATTTAGGCAACCCAATAGTCTCTTGCATTAAAAAGGTTGACACCATATTCTGGATTCAAACATGTGACCTCACATTGTATATTTAGTCAACCCAATAGTCTCTTGCATTAAAAAGGTTGACACCATATTCTGGATTCAAACATGTGACCTCACATTGTATGGTAGAGAAGAAGATGTTGTGGTGGATGTGTGATAAGATTCAACAGAATAGCTTCAAACATGTGACCTCACATTGTATAGTAGAGATGAAGATGTTGCAATGGATGTGTGATAAGATTCAACATAATAGAATAAGAAATGAAAATATTTGAGAGAATGTCAAAATATATCGGAGAAGATTACATGAAGATTGATAGATTTTTGTAAACAAGAGTGTAGACCAGATGGAAATGTAAAGAAAATGAAAGGCCTAGAAAGACAAGTTTTTTAAAAAAAATTCAAAATTAATTATTTAGATAGAAACATGATCCTTGATAAAACATTATGACGAATAGTTGATCCATTTAGACAATCTCACCTCGAGGGATAAGGCTTAGTCATTGTTGTATTGTCATTCTGATCCACCAAAAGATGAAGAAAAAGACATGCAAGAATAATGATGAAAAATTGAAAGAAAAGCAAAATCCATGGGCAGATTGATTTTTCCTACCATCTAAACTTCTAACTTGAATGCCACCAAAAATATCACTTTTAACATTTTCTCTTCTAAACCACTTGGCCAAAAATACTATTTGATTACATTTACATTACAAGATGTATGGATCATCCACATCACAAGCAAACAACAAAGTTCCCATTCCTCGGCATGCAAATATGTCAAGTTTTATGAGATGATTCACAGCTTTAACGATGAAATGAGCTCATGTTTTATACACAACAGGATGTGGCCGCATTTTCAAGCATTTTCATCATGCTGTTCATCCTTGTACTTGCAACACTCGCCAAAACCTTAATCTGATTAGCTTCCATGCTCACTGTCCAGCTGAAGTCTTTCCACATGTTCATACGACCTCAGTACAGTAACAGCCCTAATATAGCATAAAGTTTTGCAGCAATTTCCATTATTCACCTCCATGTGATGCATCCCAAATTTATCCTCCTACAAAGCCAAAACCAAAGAGAAACAGTATTTACACTTCAAAAAAACGTCAAAAAAACATGTCTTTCACAAGCTCCTGCAAAAAATCTGACCTAGCTCCATCTTTATAACTTATACACTCCTGAGTCTGACATCTGTCTATACACAAGATGGAAAATAGAAAGAACAAAAGTTAGGAATCTAACAAAGCATCAAACAAATTTTAAAATGAAACAAAAGGAAGGTCTGGTCTGAGCCTCTCTATACACAAAACAAGTCAGGTTGTTAAGCACAGTTACTGGAAACATAGCACGTATAGTGGTGCAAGACCTGCGACCACATATTCACCGGTCAGAAGATTGATTATGAAATTCAATTGCCACGAAATTGATAGCCAAATTATCTTGAAGCAAAAGGGGGAAATATACCATGTAAGAACAGTTGAACATAGTAAGACCCAACAAGTTAGGAAGAGAAAAGGGACAGACCATATTCTGATTTAATATAATATATGCCAAGTGATAACAAGCTATAACAAAGGGGGGGAATAATCAACCAATCAGTTTTGTATTTTGAAAACCCTTGAAACATAGTATTCTTGTGAGTGTAATCTGAAAACCCTTGATATATAGTATTCTTGATAGTGTTGATAAAACAATTTTGTGAGAATAGTATTGTTACAATATTAAATCAGTTTTACCACAGATAAAACAGAAAGAGATTAGAAAACTCAAAACCTTAAACTTCTTCAGCCACCTTATTTTGAAATAGTCTATTCAGAAATGATCAGGATCAGCCACACAAACATCACCCTGCAAATTATGGGCTGATTCTCACTATCTCTCAGACTTCCCAGTATTTTTCATTGCCATCCACAACAGTTCCTAATCTAAAAGACCTCAAATAAAGAAACTCACCTCGCAATTGAGGTTCTGGATGCTGGCACTTGGTGCATAATCTGAACATTCAGCCCTTGTGAAATTACAAGCTTTGTCTAGCTGTTGATCCATTTTAACAGCACTCTCTTCCCAGTTTGTCAAGCTTTTTGAAGATGTAGTTTCTGCCCTTTCCAAGCAAACAAAAGCCAGATCCAGAGCTTTGTCCCCGTTGACTCCATTCTGAAATGGACCACCAACTTCTAATTAAGGAATTTCACATGAACCAATCAACTTCCCAAGGGAAGGTTCTTCCGCTGATTCAGCAGGCTTACCTCATTCTGAACTTCTAAATCCCTTGATTTCAGCCTATGTGTGGAGTCAACAATACAGGTTTCATTTATCTGCATGTCACCTACTTCAATAATTGTATCACTTCCTAAGAGTCTATGAGATGACTTGATTCCACAATTTCTATCAGTGTCCTTCATTGTTGAGCCATCTGGCCTAACCCCTTCAATACACTCAATACTTATTTGAGGTGTACCATCCAATTTACTTGTACAACTTTCAGGTGAAACACACTCTAGCCTCTGTGGGCTAACAGATGTCCGCTTCTCTGGTTTATCTGGCTTCACATCCCCCGTTTCATGGCTATTTTTCCTCTTGATGCACCTTTCAGAAGAGCTAGATCCAGAGTAGCACTTTGTGGTATATTCCCTCGTTTTATCTGCTGCATGGCTCATATGCCTCAGCATTCGAGTACGTTTGTAACCATCTGGAAAAAGAAATGCAGGGAGCTGCTTTCGACGAATATGAGAAACATAAATTTCCATCCCCGGCTTCCAGTATACATACATATTAATTTCTTGTCTGAATTCGTCAACTGTTCCACGTATATCAAATTGCTGACCTTCTTGACCTCTTACTCCCTCTTTTCTTTGCAAGCCCATAAAAAATGCAGAATGCGGACAAGGCTTAGACGCGTCTGCATACTCGTGTGGATAAGGATGACACTGCAGCATCCCATGTGTATCTCGCTCTATCTGCTCATAGATGATTAAAAGCATGTATTCATATACAGACATAAATAAAACAATTTGTTAAAATGTTCAGATCAAACATCTTTAATAAATAAATGCAGACCCAAGACATAGATTGAATCCAGACAAGGAAGAGTCTCATAAAAGATTGACAAAATACCTTCAAGGTTAGCTGTCTCAGTCGGGATTCTACCCAACCCCTCCACAACAGTAAATCAACAGCATCTAATGCAACTATGTCTACTTGTAAATAGTTTTTGTATGCCTCAAAAAAGACATATGGCTTAAAAAGTGCACTCCACTGTGATTTGTTAAGCTCAATTTCCTAACAGTAGAAGTATCAATCAAATAAAGACATACATTTTAAATTAAAAGGGAAAAGGAACTTAAGGAACAATAGACCGCTTACGTCACAAATCTTGTTGCCATGTTGGAACTGTTCCATCATAACACGAAGAGTGCTTGTCGAAACATTGTAGCTGGAATTCATGCAAGGGTATGCAGGAGTAATTATTGGCATAATGTGAAACCTGTCCCTATGGTTTCTACGAGGATCCCATATAGGAAGATGTGGTTCATTCTCTTCTATAGAGCACAGCATTACAGGGTTTGGCCACCGCCACTGTGAATAGACCCTGAAGAATCTAGAAACCAACATACTAGGGATTGCATTAGGGTAAAACTGGCAAACTCTAGCAACTAAAATAGCCCAATTTACACCTCCAAGGAATCCAGTAACCTAAACACACCGAAATATGTTAATAAAAAAGAAACATAAATGCTCATGCCATTCGATATGACAAAAATTATTAAGGTTATAGGTGCAATTCTTACATTTGAATAAACACCGCGTCTTTTAGCCCAAAACTTTAAACATCTCAGCGTAGTTCGGAAGTTCTATCATTATCAAGAGTTAATAGAATATCAAATTAATAAGACAAAATCATTGAATTGATCTATTTAATACCTAATATATCAATTAAACCAAATAATGAACAATGTATTAACCTCGACATTCGGAACAAGTTTAAGAATTTGATCCGCCACTCGGCAGCCATTAAGACTTCTTACAGTTTTTTCATCAATATCATGCAGAATGGAACCGTCTGAGATATCCAGGTCCTGTGGATAAGTGTTTCAAAACGATAATAAAGTGAAAACAAGTTTCAAGAGAAACTAGATTCTAAGGCATGAGAACGAACAAATAAGAAAAACCATAGAAATGTGATTTGCTCTTAGAAAAAAAAAACTAAAACACAAAAGGCAGCATAAAAATGGTTATCAGTAACAAATAGTCCTGATTAACAACTTTTTCTAATATGATGCATCAAACTCAATAAACTGCATAAATAAATTTAGATAAACAATTAAAACGTGCATTTAGCGTACTTATGTGTACTAAATGAACGCTGGCACACTAATCCAATATATGATTACGTAGAGCAATAAAACAACTAAACATTTACATTCTCCATAATTCCTGAAGGCGTGTTATATGGGTGACAGGAGGAAAAAGATTCTACAGTTCAAATCAAGCAGGTCAAAAAACAGGAAAGAGAGATAAATAATATAAAGGCTCGATATACTGAATGATAACACATGGTTGCATTCTTTTTTTTTATGATGGTTGCATTCAATTTTATACACGCCAACAAAACTTAACTTTATAAAGGAAGAAGTACTTGTGTTATAGAAGCTCTCTTCAATTTACTAACCCAAGAAACGAATATATCAATAAAATGTAGCAGAAAATATGAAGCTCCTGATGAATAAGAGACCAAACTTACTTCTGGCACAACCAAAATAGATAAACTTGCATACAGCAAATCTATAGAAATTCCCTGGAACTTGAATTTCATAACTGGGACATGTGCATCAGGGACCGGTTGAAGTTCAGTAACTTCTTCCATTTCAGCCAGGATGTTATGCAAAATGATGAAGAAATCCTCCTGATACAAAAGAGAGATGCACTGGCTAAAATATAACTGATCCCAAGGACTTAATTAAATTAAGCAAAAGAAACTAGATGCAGTATGTTACCTCTCGATTTACATAGGAAGGACCAATGCACAAAGTGTCTATGTCCACTCCAGGTCCATGAACCTACAAATGCTTAAATTGCAGCAATAATATCTGAACACTTGTAGATAAAACACTAGCAAAACAGACAAAATGGTATTTCATAAAACAGGAATATTACAACTCATTAACTGTCTACTTCTATTTGTTTAGAACAGAACAACATTTTTTATCATAAATGAAAAAATAACATTTTTCTGCAAGAATGTTGTTTACATCGATGTAGTAAGGAAGTCTGAGACATTTTGTGATAAAATTAGATATAATACTCCATCAAAGTCACCACTTACTACCAGTCATTTGTTGATAGTGACTAAAACAAGATTATTGTTACACACTACTGATATAACTAGACTTCAAAACTCTACGGACTTTAGAATTACACACTGATGAGATATACTCGCCAGCATAAACCAAAAATATATAAGGTGTCTCTTGCGAGGAGAGTATTAATCATCATATATATAAAGAGAAAATAGCAACTGTTCCATGCATAAAAGTTTTTCACAATATGCAAGCACTAGAACAAACAAGGATAAAGCTAACACTAGCAAACTCACCCCTAATCGGTAAGAGCCAAAAGTGAAAATGACCGCATTTGCATCCTCGACCATCTGATCTGTGTAGCCTCGTTGGCGGGTCAACAGCTTCACCCAGCTTTTCACAATCTGCATTGCAGGTTAACCTTATCACTACAAAATTTTAACTTGAAGAATGAAGTGAAACACCTCAGTCCACTAGACGACAAGAAAAGGTACCATCCCCAAGCCATTGTAGTACCATTGGGGTCGAAGAATCAAAAACCTTGAACAAGCATCAATCTAGCAAAGTTCCAAACATTATTCTCCACAATGTCAATAACACACTATTGTGCCGCTATAGCAGAATATCATAGCAGTAAAATGGTTTGGCTCGCTTTTGGCTTATAGCAGCAGTAGCAATTCACTACGGCATCCGCTATTAAGGTTTTAGGAAAAAAATTGTCAAATCCTTTTCTTTACATTGTTCTCTTTTTCAAGGGTTTAAATGTCAATTCAAACCCTTTTAAGGGCAATGTTTTGTTCTTCAATATGCTACATTCTTGCTCACAAACAATCATCATGTTGTTCTTCCTACTTCTATATTCTTCCTACTTTTAAGTTCAGTTATGTTCTTCTTTTCTGGTCAAATTTTATTGCTCTATAATTTAGGTTATGTAACCATTAAGCACGATGGTCTCTTTAGTTTTGTAATTATGCTTACTCTATATAAACTGGGGGTAGGTGTTACACAATGCTATCTCAACTTAACAACCTAGATTGTTCTTCAATACTCGACTATCCCGTAATATATATCATGTATGAATAAACAAAAGCTAGTATTAATAATTTTACTCATCATTATCATAAATGCGAACAAACCAAGTAAAATTAACTTTGAAAACAACCATAAGCTGCTATAGAAAAAGGAGATCGAAGAAATAAATAACCTGATCTAAACGGCGAAGAACCTCTTGTCTACATGCAGATTCTTCCTTGCTCTCATAAAGACCCGAATCAACCAAAAACTGAAAGAAAAAAAATTGTTATCATTTCAAGAGAAACAATGTGAAAGCGTGGAAATGAAGAGATGAATCAAATCAACCTTCTCCAGTTCGGCGTTACGATTGAGATCAGCTGCGGTAGGACCGGCAAGAGAGATAGGTTTTGTGAATCCAAGCTTGTTAGCTTGTTCCTGTTGTGGCGGCGGTGGAGGTGTGGAGCCGCCAATAGGACTACCGGAAACCGCCATTTCGAGCTAGATTCAAATAAAGCAAACCCTAATTTTCAATTGGTTGGCATCTGAATTCTATTGTAAAGACGTAAATGGATTTAGATTGGGAATTAGGGTTTGGGGGAGTCAAAGCAGCGTTTGGAAAGAATAATTAATGTGAATCTGAAACCGATTTTTATTAGACGGAGGGAGTGTTAACGTTGTGTTGTATCAATCCAACCAATCACGTTTGTCTTCCTTTTTTTCTTTTTTTTAATGTTTTTCTCGCTTCAAATGCATTATTTTGGCCTCAAATGTTTTTAATTGAAAAAACATCTAAAAGAAATAATGGTTTTGTCTTGTTTTCAACTATAATTTCTTTCAAATCACTACCCGCGAATACTTTTCTAATAATTTAAGATTATATTTTAAAAAGTAAAAGATTATTTTGTCTTATTAATAATCGAGAAATAAAGAATGTTAAAGGGTTAAAATTTAGACAAAATATTATATTTCGTCCCTTAATTTTAACTTGGGGTCCACTTTGGTCTATTAACTTTAAAAAGTTGCAAGTTGGTCCTCTAACTTTTAAAATTGTGTCAATTGAGTCCTCACCGTTAGTTGTCATTAAACGTCCGTTCATTTTGTGTACATGACAGATGACTTGGCAAGTTATTTCCATCATCTTGTTTCGTTCTTCTTCCTCCTTCCCATTCCCATACAGTAAGAGAATTTTTTTTTTCTTCTTCCTCTCAATCCCAAATCCCAAAATTAAACCTAGAGTTTTTGTTTTTGGCAAACATGAAATCTTGTTGTTCGTCCTCCATGTTGAAATAGGAAAGTGGAGATTCGGATGTTTGTAGTAGGTCACGATGGAAGCCCATATGCCATTGTGGAGACATGGTTGTTCTTCAAAGGACAACTACTGTTAAGAATATGGAAAAACTTTTCTGGGGTTGTCCAAATTATAAGGTATGCAAGGTTTTTGAATTTGTTAATAAATTCTGTTTAAGTTTCAATTTGTAGGTAACCTCTAAACAATGAAAGTTTCAGGGAGGTATGCAAGCTGAGTGTGGTTTCTTTGGTTGGTTTTATGAGGAAGTGGGTGATAAGAAGGAGCCATTCTTGATGCATATGTTGGGTGTGTTAATTAAGGGACTTGCCGAAACAAAAAAAAGACTTTGAAAAAGTGACAATGGAGAATGAAGAATTAGGGAAAAAGTTGATGAAACTTGAAAGTGAAATGAAGAATATCATGAATTGGAAAAAAAAATTGAATTTGATGTTTGTGATTATTATCATTGTATTAGTTGTTAGAATGAGTTAGGGTATTAAGGTTTGTTTGAAAGTAGTATGTTATGGTTTGTTTGTAAGAATTATCTTAACTTTTATTTGTAAGAATTAGCTTTAAGGTATGTTAAAGATTGTAACTTTTGGATTGTATCAGTTTAACATGAATGTAATAGTTGGATTGTATCAGTTTAACATGAATGCAATATAAGTGTTAAAGATTCTGTTAATTTTACTTTTTGCAAATATTATTTTTGCGTGTATCACACAATGATTCTGTTAAAGATTATGTTATTTTCACATGAATGCAATATTTGGTCGGTTAAAGATTATGTTAATTTTAACACACAATGACCTATAAGTGTTTTATATAACACACAATGACCTATAACTTATGTTTTTATAACACACAATGATTATGATTCTGTTGCATTTTCTATGACCTATAAATACTGATTATGTTACTTTTGCAATACTTTATTTTAACTTGGTTTGTTATAGACATGTCAAAGTGTTTTTATAACACACAATGACCTATAAGTTCTATATTTTTAACATAGCATTATGACATGTTCTGCTTTTAACATAAAGTACATAATAGGTCCATAAACACTATGACCTATAAGTTCTGCATTTTTAACACAACATTATGACAGGTTCCATTTCATAACAGGTCCACAAACTGATACACATGTTCCACAAAATACATAAAGTGATTCCACACATGTTCCAAACAACAGCAAAATACATAAACTAATTATACACATGTTCCAAACAACAGCAAAATACATAAACTAGTCATACATGACATGATAGCCTAATTATATCTAGAGGTTCTTCTTTGGCGTGGTCCTCTTTGTTGGAGTAGACCTCCTTGTTACTTGGCCAACAACATTTTATGCAGCACTCAACCTAGTTGTAGGCCCAGGTGGTACAAAAGGTCTTGTTGGCTTCCTAACAGGCATCCTTTGTGTCTTGCCTTTAGCAGGCCCATGTGTCTTCTGAGCAGCATTTCCCTTAGAAGTCTGAGATGCTTGGCTAGATTGTTGAGTAGTATTTCCCTTAACATTGTGTGTTGTTGTGTTCTGAGAGGGTTGGCTTGGTTGTTGAGTAGGCTAAGTTGTTGGAGTCTAAGTGTGTTAGGTGATTGTTGAGTAGTTTGAGTTGGAGTATGAAAGAGTTGGGCTGATTGTTGAGTAGTTTGAGTTTGAGTATGGGAGGGTTGGGCTGATTGTTGAGCAGTCTGTGTTGTTGTGTCCTTACATGTAGACTTGTTGTTGTGTCCTGCTTTCTTACACCTACTACACTTCACCGTGAAACGTGTTCTTCTCATTTTGCAATCAGACCCATCAGTTTCTCCTTGTTCTAGATTCCTCCTCTTTTTAGGCCTACCAAACATTTTCCTGAACTTGGGTGGTTGCACATCTGGATATGGTGTCTTAACCCACAAGTTTAATCCATTGACAAGGTAAATCACATGCTCATAAACTGCTTTGTACCTTGAAACCCTATAATACTCTGGAATGTAAGTATCAATTTTGAAATTCCTACTCTTCGTAGCAAACAAAGCATAAACACATGAAAGTCCTGTGAGTTCCCATCTTTTGCATGAACATATATGATCTTTCAGGTTCACAATAAATTTGTCAGCTTGATTTTCCAAGTGCCTTACTTCAAATATATGTTCATCAGACATCCTAAAGAATTAAACATACAGAATATATGAGTCACGTGTTTGGATTGTATGTTATAGACATCCTAAAGAATTAATGTATGCTGATATTACATACCTTACTAGCCAGTTCTTGGTGTATGTGCTTGTGACATCAACTTTCTTTCTAATATTAGACAATATATCATTATCATCCAAAGTACCAAATCTCATTTTGTTATTTGCCCATATTTATATCATGTATATTCTGATGTCTTCCAACATAGTAATTAGAGGTTTTGTGTAACATCCCAATTTTCAATAACTGGTTAATGGTACTAATTAATTGGTTTGTGTGATTTATCTGATTTAAGTGAATTATTGAATTTAACTGATTTATTCTATTTGGTAGAATAATGTGGATTTACTATATATTCTCTAATTAATGATAAGATGAGATATTTTGGTGAGGAAAGGAATTGATAGATATTTTTGAGAGATGAGATATTGAGGAGAAATAAAAGAGAAGGTTATATAAAAGAAAGAAGAGAGAAAAGGAAAGGGGATAGAAAGAAAGAAGGAAAAGAAGAGAAAGAAAGAGAAAGAGGAGAAAAGAGGAAGAAAAAGGGAAAATCTCGGAAATCATCAAGAACGACTTCTAGCTCCCGATTAATCGAGGTAAGGGTGTGAAATATTGTTATCTTACCAATGTATGTGATTATGTATGGATTGTTTTGTTTTTTTCCTCATTTTCCATTCTAGGGTATAAATGAGTTTAATCGGTAGAAACCGAGTTTTAACTATTAAAAATGAGGATAAGTGGTAAAGTTTAGTCGAGGAATGTTTGGCTAAGGCTACTGGAACGAGTTGGAATTGAATCGGGTAGATTTTGAGGAGTTTCGGAGTTTTGGACAGTGGGGAATTTTGAGTTCGCAGACCCTCGCTAGCTAGTTCGCTAAGCGAGCATTCGTTGTGGCGAGCCGGTAGCGAACGGTCCCAGACATGGACATAATGGTTTTGGTGTTCTTCGCTGGTAGCGAAGGGGGTAGCGAGCGTTCACTAGGCCTTCGCCGAGCGAGTGAGGTAGCGAATCAAGTCAGTGGCTTCTGTTTGCCTTCGCGAGCTTGTTCGCTAGGCGAACAGGTACCGAGCACTCGCTAGGCGAGCAAGGTAGCGAGCGTGTCAGCATGTTGTTTTCTTGTGTTTTCCATCCAATGGTTAATTGTTTGGTTCAATTATATTAATCCTTATATAACATGAATAGTTTGTGTATTATTGAGGTGAGACGTGTTGTGGGTAGCCTTATGGCGTGAATCCTAGATTGTGAAGTATGGCCTTTTGGCAATTATATGCATTGTTTGAATTAAACATGAATGCATGAAAATATATGTATATATATATAGTGAATATATTTGCATTGCTTGGTGACGAGATAATGATGTTGAGAATATGTAAACGTGCGAGATTCTTACTCACTGGGGTAGAATGACAAGGTGTCATTCCTAGTGTAGTAATCACCGGGGTAGAATAACTGTGATGTTGTTCCTGGTGGGGTATAAGCGATGTACCCATAATCCAAATGAGGATTTGTGAGAGTTGATGAGTTTATATGAGTCATATGGTATGTACATGTGATTGTTGAATAAAAGTGTGAGATGTGGTCGTTTGGCAATTATGTGTATAATTGTATGTAGCTGTGTGTGGTGTAATGCGTAATTATATATATTTGTGAATATGTATGCATTTCAAGAGTGTGTGGAGTCGTTTTGCATGTGAAGCATCATGATTGCATTCTTGTGTCTTGATCCCATGGAGGATCTACAGAAACCTCGTGTGCCCTTGTGGGTGTGAATGATGGTTTATTCTTGATCCCGTGGAGGATCTGCAGAAACCTCGTGTGCTCTTGTGGTGTGAGCGACGGTTTATTCTTGATCCTGTGGAGGATCTGCAAAAACGATCGTGTGCCCTTGTGGGGTGTGAGCGATGGTTTATTCTTGATTTCGTGGAGAATCTGCAAAACGATTGTGTGCCCTTGTGGGGTGTGAGCAATCAGATTGTGTGCCCGTGTGGGGTGTGAGCAATCCTGAAACATCGTGTG